AGTCTGACAAACACAGAGTCCTCCTGTGTTATTGCCCAGCACTTGGCACATGCAGCATGGCTTACTGGCTTCAAGGGTCCATAGGATCGGGGCAAAATAGAAGGGGGAATCCCAAATGGTGCCAGCTTTTGGACCAGATCCACCTCAAGCAGCTGGGAACTGAACTGGCCCCACAAAGACATTCACCCGAACTGACCTCTTTCCTCCGAGACCGATTCGTTCGCTTGGGGGAACAGATGAAGGCTCAGCTTGGGCTGTAATTCCTGGGAGCAAAAATAAAACCTGAAGGCAATGTGCCCGCAGCAACACATAATTCCCCGGCATTAATGGCTTCGTGTCTTCCCCTAACTACCAGCGTGTCACCGCTGGGACATTAGGTGGATGGGCGTTTAATTTCACAACATGATTCAAAATAATCTCCTTATACCTGGGTATGTATTTCACAAACCCAATATAAAGGTGCTCCCTTTGCAGGCTTCAGTATTTTTAAGTTAGTGCTGTTATCCCCACAGACTGTTTACTGCCTACAAACTTACAGCATGGGAAGGTGAATTAAGTAGAAACCCACAAGGATGGAGTTTACGCCCCGGACCGGTACCCACGTGGGTCGCACAGAGTATCTGGCACTTTATGGGGAGTCAGGCTTTGCCCGACGTGTGACGTGTCCACCAGGCTGAGAAGCAAAGGTTTAAGCGATAGCTTTTGCAGATCATCTTGTCCCCCAAAAAGCTGCCGAAGAGCTCAGCTGAGCTGGAGAGCTGCAGGGAGCGGGCGGCTCCCTGAAAGATGCCTGGACTTTGGGAGAGCGCTTTGCAGACAGCTTGTAGGGAGCAGCGCTGCAACACTAGGTGTTTAGCACACCACTATCCCAGCATACCTGTGATGCAATGAACTACTGCACTGAGCAGTTAAAACTGGCGCTAACCCCATTCAGGTATATAACCAGCCTGGTAAAGCTTTAATCGCTCAAATGTGACCCACTCTTCGGTGAGCTACTGATAATAGCTTATTTCTTGCAGATCATTGCTTTAAAATCTCTTGCTCCCAAGGTGCACTTACATTTCCCGAGTATTACTGCTCACTGTATATCTGTCCCAGGACAGCTGTTGGAGACTATGACTTCCATAAGTTCTGATAGCATAATAGTTTGCTGATTGGATGCAGTAAATTACTGATTATTACTCAACCTCCCACAGACTATTAGTGAGATAATATAGGTGAGGGACCTGGACACAGGATGTGTTACCCGCCTCCGCATAACTTACTCGAGTCCCTTGTAAAGGTACCGTGGGAAACATGAGAGGTAAAGCTACACTGGTATAAGTTACACTGGTATAGATGCCGTGTGTCTGCTTCTATCCCAGGCTAGCTGTTTGCTCAATTCAAACAGACTATTACTAGTTCCCCGCTGCCTAATGGCCTCTTCTGGCAGCTACTCTAGAAAAGCCGATTATCTGCCTGCTGCAGGCACTCCCCAAGCCAATGCAGGTGACTTTGGTATTAAAAAGGTGTGTGCCTTGGCCCTAGGTCTGATCAGGCTCACCAAGAGCTAGGCACCATTTAATAGCCTCAAAAAGAGAACTGAAGTGGTGCACGGGGCTTGTGCAGCTGCTCTGGGTCCGGCGGGGGGACCCCGCCTCTGTGTAATCTCTCTCCCATTAAAGGTCTTTTTCCACTCGTTTGCAGGGGGAGTTAGACTGGACCCAATGAGGGAGCTCCAATCAGCGAGGAACGGATGCTTAAAGTAATGACAGGAGACACGTTTGCAAACCAAGGCTGAAGATAAGAATATCCTCAGCTAATTTTCATGTAAAGAGCATGCACCGTGCTGCCAGACTCTTATGAAGTTATTGCAACTCTCCCAACCTCAGGTGTGACAAAGCCCCCTGGTAATCACGCAACAGCTTTCATTTAAAACGAGAAGGCAAAAGGAGCTTCTTGCCTTTGTGGTCATGGGGGATGTGATAAAACACATAAGATCTTAGCCCACAAGAGGCTGAAAAGTGATAATGTGCAAAAAACCGTGCAAAAAACAAACCCAAAAGCAATTCCCTAATTTTTGAACGTTATCATTTTTAAGCCAGTCTTATCATTTTCTGGGGAACTGATGCATGGTTTTTGAATGCCTGGGGCTTGTAACACCGCGCACAGCCTTGGGAGTCCTTCTCCTGATGAAGGAGATTATACATTTCGTGGACATTAGGGCTGGACGGGACCTTGACCCTGCGAGATCATTGGGTCCTGCCCCCAGAAGATGACTGGGTATCTTCGTGGCTCGGCCCTGTAACATGCAAGTTTGGGAACTGGAGCACCACAGTCCTCTCAGCTCCCGGGAGAAAACTCCAGTCCCTCTCCCATCATGCAAAGCCTTTTTTTGGAAACCCCGTACTTACGATGGTGAAGTTCATAACCTTGAGAATCCAGATGGTCATGGCCAGGTTCACCAGGATTAAAATCATGAGGAGGAGCACGAAGAAATAGAGACATCTCTTCCTCCAGCCATAAATCCCCACTTTGTAAACCTGCGGTCCTTCCGAGCTCTGCATGGCGCTCCGGTGCGCGTACTGTTCCTGAGGCATCTGAAACAAATGCATGGAGATGAGCATGTACATTAAGCTGCAGGGCAAATCAGATGATGAGAATTGCCTAAGGGCTTGTGTCTATACTTCTCAGAGCAGCCTTTAACTCCAGAAATTACCAGCTGGTCAGTGTCTCTTCCCGCAGCTTCTTTCTGCATTGTTTTTCCTAGGGCTTATTTTACATAGTAATAAATCATCACAGTTTATATACATCTCGCTCTCTCATACACACACACACACACACTTACACACACGTACACATATATATATGCACACATATACTTATATACACATACATATATATGCACATACACGTGCATACATGTGTGCACACATACACACATACATGCATACAGGTGTGCACACATACATATACATATACACATACAGATATATGCACACATGCACACATACATGCATACATGTGTGCACACATATATACATATACACACATACAGATATATGCACACATGCACACATACATGCATACATGTGTGCACACGTATATACATATACACACATACAGATATATGCACACATGCACATACATACATGCATACATGTGTGCACACATATATACATATACACACATACAGATATATGCACACATACATGCATACATGTGTGCACACATATATACATATACATACATACAGATATATGCACACATATATTAACACATACATATACACACATACAGATATATGCACACATGCACACACATATATTAGCACATACATACACATATACACACAGATATAGGCACACATGCACACTCACATATATGCATACATATATATGCACATACATATACATATACAAAAATACAGATATAGGCACACATGCACACTCACATATATGCATACATATAGATGCACACACACATATATATATACACACGCACGCACGCACACACACGCACAGTAGAAGGTTTCCCATGGAGACTGTTTTCCAATGACTCTGTTAACAGCTCCAGGTTTTCTGCAAGGCAGGCACTCCAGGGCCCCTAAAAATCCTGAGGGTAAAATTTTGCATGCGTTTGGTAAAAGAAGTTGAGTTCAGCAGTTTGTTTTGAAGGTGCAGTATGACTTCTCAGAGGCTTTAATTCAAATAAAAAATAAGTCTCAAATAAAATTATTCCTTGTGGCTTTGAAGAAAGGGGGAGGGTAATGGCTCTGAGTTCTTTCCGTCGTTCCACTGAAGAGTCTTAAAATGGAAAGTTCTCCATCTGTACAACTCAAATCAAACCAGCACATCACCAGTGTGAGATTTACACTGAATCACCGGCACCAAGTATGTGGGGGCCCAAGGGCCCTGGTGCCCCTTGGGAAGAGGACTGTCAGGGCCCAAACCTGAAGAAAAACGTAATATTTCTATAATATTTTATATTGTAAAAGATGGATTCAGTTATGTTAAGCGTGCTGGATATAAGGTGATGTGTATAGGAACAAATGACTGAGGCGCTGAGCTGTTACCAGGGATCCATGTTTTCCGTTTGCTGCGGAAAAACACAGATTTTTTTCCTTTAACAGAGAAAAACATGGGAAACAATGGATTTCCCCTTGCAGGCTGGCATGCTGCTAGCCTGCAAGGGGTTGCTTGGGGCTGGGGGCACTGGGGAGGGCAATCAAATACAGGAAGCCCCATGCACATGTGCATGCACACATGTGCATGGCAGCCAAGCAGCAGTGGAGAGCAGCTCCCTGCAGGTAAGTCAATGGGGATGGGGGGGAGGGGGCACAGGCAATATGTCAGGGGGGAGGCACAGGTGACACAGTAGAGAGGAGTGGGAGTGTGGGCAAGGCGAAGCGGCAAGCGGAGCACGCACCCCTGAGATTTCTGTGCCCACAGCAGGGCACAGGGCTGCAGCTGGGTTGGACCAGCCCTGGGAAGAAGCTACCTCCATGGTCCAGCGGACAGTACCCTGTGCAGGAGGGAGCACCGTAAGTACGGGGTTTCCAAAAAGGCTGCCATGGCTGCCTACCTTTGAATGGGACATGATGTCTCTCATGGTATGTCCACAGGACACAGTGCAGCACCATGCAGGGATACCCCCGATATCTCTGTGCTGCACCATGTAGTGCTGTGTCAGTGCCCACAGGGCTTTCCCATGCACATGGAAGAAGTGTTGCACAACTACAGCTCCCCCTCCCGTTTCCCTTCGCATGTCTTGCCTCCTAGACAGGAAGGACCCCCCAGGACACAGGGGATGTAGGGGTTGCTGCTGCAGGAAGAGCCCCACAACTGTGTTCATGCTTGCGCATGTGTAGGCACACGCAGTTGGGCTGCTCCCCATTGCACCCACATCACAGCCGGTCACAAGCTGGGCCCTGAATAATCCAACTGCAGAGAAAGCACCATGACTGCCGCACGTGACCACAGCCCCACACTTCCCCATTTGTTTTGCGACAGTTTGTGTATTGGGTTTTACACACTGGGGTGAATATTATTGGATTCATTGGGTCGGATAACTCATTTCTTGACTTGGAGATTATTACAAAATAACTTTCATATCAAGGATTCAATTATTTCTGGCATGTCAATGTTTTAACTATATTTTTAATAATAAAACTGTATATAGTTAAGTGTACACTCATTGGGCTGTCTCTATAGGGAAATGGAGGGATCCGCGTGTAGGGCGGTGACGTCCCTCCCTCAGCACCCTAGCCTGTCATCACTTCCTGTCCATTTATTTGGGAGGGCACACTCTCGGTGTACCTGGGTTACATTTGGATGTTTCCAAAACCCAGGCAGACAAAGCCTTGGCTGGGATGATGGAGTTGGGGCTGGTCCTGCTTGGAGCAGGGGGTTGGCCCGGATGTGACCTCCTGAGCTCCCTCCAGCCCTCGTTTTCGATTATTCTGTTTCACGAAAGGGTCTGGTTTCAGCATCCCCGGTCAAATGCTCCCTCTGGCCTTTCTGCATCCCATTCCACATGTGAGCCAGCCTGGGGGCTGTCATACTGAAAATGAATGACAACTGCATCTCCCACCCTTCCGAACCACACGCTACATCTGGCCAATCCAGGAACCAGATGTGGCACCCCGTGCACCACCTGCTTTCAAACAGGCATGGATTTCTGTACCTATTGCAAGAGCAAACTCCTGCTCAGTTTTTATTCTGTGATCAAACCTCATGTCCACCTGGAGAAAAAGTTTTGCAGACACAAAAAAGATTTCTGTGAGAGCTGGACATAGCCACACTGAGCCTGAATCCAAACAAAACCCGATTTTGAGAATTTCTCCAATTCAAGGCACACGGTATATGTACAGTGCTACAATAAGCAGCGACATATCAAGGGAAGTACTGCTCATACCTGGTGAGAGTGTCCCAGGGCTTGGCCTAATTTATAACACGCTCCTAACACGGAATGCTATATATTTTAGACATGGCTATAAAACATGGTACTCACATGATCACCGTGTACTACACCATGTAACCATGTATATAGAGCAGCTTCTAACTTGCATTTTTTTGTGCACTGCAAGTAATAAAATGATCAGGTCTCCAATTCTCTTAAGGGAAAAGAAATAATGATAGACACAGAGGGCTGAGGGCTGTTAAACAAGTGAGTTCAATGAAAAGCTTTTCAAGGCAGCTCGAAAAGAAGCAAGATACATCTGCTATCAATAATCAGCTTTCCGTGGGAGAGAAAAGCACGTTTGTTATAATTTACATCTGGGCCATTTCTTCTTACTAAAACATTAAAAAGGAATCAGCAGAAAATTAAGCACCAGGAGACAGCACTAGCTAGAAAGAACCTTTTATTGGTCTCTTTTGGCAGAGGTCTTCCTTTTTAAATGCACAATACAGACTGGAGAGGGAGAATTCAGGAAGAGGAGCTGGGGGGTGCTGGAAGAGAAAATACTGTAGGTGTGGCTATCAAACTGCATCGGTGGGCCTAGCACAAGTGGCAAGGATAGGAAAGCAATGCATGCCTTGATCAAGCCATATTTAAAGTGCCCACCATTCCCTAAACTGTGGTATTAGTCCCTTGCAGAATTAGACAGCCATTCCTACATTTATAGCCCTATTTAAAAAAAAAACAACAGAAATGCAGCCATTGCACTTTAAAACTTTCCAGTTTGAACTCATTGAAGCTGACTGAACCCATAAGCACGTCCTACCTCACCAGCGGTACTCCTCTCTTAGAGTCCTGCACCCTCGATCAAGCGTTTCTCAACCGCAGGGTGCCACGCAACATTAGCACCGTCACGTGTTCAAACACGATTCACAAGATGAACCCAGAGCTTTCAAATAGGAATCCCCAGTGTCAAAACGGCTTTGCTTGTTGTGGTCTTTCAGGCCAAGTCAAGACAGTTCAAAAGCCCGAGGCTGAATCGATTCAATCTTCGCAGGTTAGTCTAAACCCCGTAGATTGAACCCATAAGCAAGTGAACAGACATTCATTTCTGATTCTGGAAATGCAGCCACATGCCTGCAGTGGCCCAGGCCAGAAGCTGGGAGGCGCTAGAGCACGCCTCCTTGCCGGGCTGGAGCAGCCAGTTTGGCCAAGCCTAGCCTACCCACCCTGCACGGGGTGGGGGAGGTTTGCAGGGGAGGCTCAAAGCATCCTGGGATGCTGGGGGACTGTGCATTAACTTGACCCTAAAGGGGACCTGGGACAGAAGTTCAATAGACTGATTTAACCTAAATCAGTTCAGTCTGATACTACATCCATCCAGGTTTACCTTAAAGCAGTTTTGGCCACTTTGAAAGCAGTTTACGCGCGCTGAACTGCTGTTGCGTTCCAGATTTGAACCGGTTTCCCATCACTTATACGGGTTGATGTGTAACTTCTGTCCCTAGCCTCTGCGTTTTCTGCAGCAGAATTGCTCTTCTATATTTTGTCATCAAAAAACGAGGGCAAGCGAAGAGCTGGCATTTTCCGAGGAGCGCCTCAAATCTAAGCAAGCTGAGATCCTCTGCCCTAGATAATTCATGTACCAGGTGCAGCAAACAGGACTCGCTCCAGGTCTCATGCATGCCACACGGGCCTT